TATATATATATATATATATATTATTTTTAGATTTATGTCGTTAATCTTAGATAAGAGAAGATTTAGATCATCTTTATCATCTTTAAGCCAATGGGCATTGTCTTTTTATCCAAGAAGCTTGACAAAGGGTGAGATTGTATAACTTAAGATTGATGTTTTTCATATATGATGTAATTAAGCATCATGAGGGTTGTTATTAATGATGGATAGAATAAATCTTGTTCCTTGGATTTGGCATGAATACACTTTTGTAAATGAGAATCAAAAATACATTTTGCTAGTTTAATATGCTGCTTGAGTGACTTGAGCCTATGCATAAGAGCATAAATAGGATCCTCATGATAATGAATTTATCAAATGCACTTAATCAAATTGTTAAATCCATGTAATCAGAAATAAGAATTCTTGGAATAGATTTGTGCTTAGGCTTGTAACTACTATGAGCATAGAGGATAATAGGCAAGTGATCAAAGAAGTGGGGAGCAAAGACATTACTATATGATAAATGATGAGTTGTTAACAAAGCACCATTTATAAGAATTCTATCCAACTTACAGTTGATTTGTCAATCAATTCTCAAATTAGACCAAGTAAAGAAGAAACCTTGGAAGCAATATCAGAAAGACAAGCCGAGTGGAGGCTATCACTATGGAGGTGATCGTTAAAAGGTTTCAATTTATTAGGAGGAAGAGCCTCCCTCTAGTTTTTTTTCGCATTGGAATCTATAACAATTAAAATCTCTAAGCACAATCCAAGGTCCATAAATAGTATTTGCAAATTTAGTGATAGATTCCCAAAGATCCTCCTTCCCTTGGTGGGAGTTGATAGCATAAATTACAAAGCTAACAAATTGTTGAGTGTGATTATAAGTAATTTTCCCATGAATAGTTTGATCATCCATAAAGCAAAACAAAAATATCACTTTAGAAGAAATTTTATCTAGATTTGATTTTGTATGGGGTGGCAAAATGGAAGTTATTGTGAAGCTCTTCATTGGGGGGAAATAGTATGAGAAGTAAAAAAGAAAGGGTCGGAAATTAGGTTCTAAAACACAAAAGAGGTCCAAGCAAACTAATTAATAAGGTTCCTGCAGTGGAGAACCCTGTCCAAGCTGAGAAAGCCTCCAACATTCTAAGCTGCTAGTTTCAGTAAAGTCATTTGGGTGATGGGAGTGGTTTTGGCCTTTTTTTTTGTGGTTTTGTGTAAGGAGGAAGAGTTTGAAAATAAATGTGATTGGTATTTGAGGCATGATTAACAAGAGGATCAGTAAGAAGACCAGTGTATCTCGAGAGTCTAGGTTTGGAATAAGGATTGCAAAAAAGACGGGAATTATCTAAATAGGGAGGCATGTGTAGGTTGTGAAGAAGAAAGTGGAATAAAAGAAGAGGTTTAGTTAGTAGTGTTCAATGGTTTGAAAATGGTAGAAGAAGAGTTAATTGGAGAAGGTACTTGAAAGCAAGGTGTTTTACTAAATATATGTTCTACACTACTTCCTCTCCTTGTTTCAGAAGCGCGAGGAGGAAGTAGAGTAGAGGGAAGAGGGGTGTGGTTTGCAGTGCTTGTAGAAGAGTCATGAAAAAAGGAATGATAACCCAAGTAAATAAAGAGTTTTCAGGCATATTGTACCTTAAAAATTTGTTCCTTGCCAACCAGAGGCTTAATAGAATCTCATCCAGAAGGTAGGCATCGTTAGAGACTTGAACACATAAACTCTAACAAAAATAAAGCAAGACTTGTTTGTTATAAACGCATCAACAACTAAGGGGTAGATTAATGATCTTGATCCAAAGAGGGATACAGGAAAATTCCTCTTTTTTAAGTTTAAACTGATGAGGCCACTTTCGAATGATGAAAAGTTTCACAATACATGTCCAATATACAAATCTTTGAGTTACGTCGACATCTCTGTCAATTAATTTTTGAAATGCATTAAATGGCAGAAATAATGTTTAATTTTGTTTTAAAAAGAATAATATTTTTATTTACTTAAAATTAAAATTAACTAACAAGAAATATATATTTTTTTCTTTTAAGATTATATGAAAAATATTTCATATTATATTTAATAGAACACGAATGATTAAATTCGTCGCATAATCATCATCTTAAACCACCTACGATTAAATTTTATTACATCATTAGGCAAGAGTAAGTAAAACATTATAAAGTAAGAGTGTAGTGTAGAAAAATAAAATTAAATAATGCAAGTCAATTTATTGTAATTTGGCAAATGGTGAGGCAGATAAAACTCTATCCTTAGTTGATAAGGGAGAAATGTGTCACTCTCTATTCCTAATTAAAGTCGAAGAACTCTTGATTTAGGTTACTAGTTAATGAATCAAGTTCTTCACAAGTTGCTTTAGCTTACTCTTAAGATATCTATATTTTGGAGTGGAGGATTATATGTTTGCTACAGATTCAAGGAAGACAACTTGGACTACTCTCTCTTTAAAAACTCTTCAAGGTTCTCAAATGAATATGAAAGAGTTTTCTCTAACAGATCTTATCTTTGATTTTTTATTTCTTTCCAGCTCTCTTTTTCTTTCACATTTAGGGCTTCAAAATGAATAATTTATTCCAGAATTATTAATTAAAAAAATAAATAAATTTAAAAATATATTGAAATAGTATATATATATATATATATATATATATATTGTTATATATATATACATATATTGTTATATATTAGACACTCTGTCATATTTAAAAGTAGCACATATTTTAAGAAAACTGACAAGATGTCAGTTAGGATCTTTAGCAGATGTTCCTCCAAACTGATTATTTTGTACAATTTTGATAATAACAGATTTAAGCTCAAATGAATTAGCAACAAGATTAAGATTTTGAATTGTCAAGTAAGGCTCAAATGAATTAGCAACAAGATTAAGATTTTGAACAGTCAAGTGAGGTTCATCTGCTGTAAGATTAACATAATTTTTTAAATTTCTTTGTCGATTTTCATTTATTTGATTATAAAATCTGCTATAAATGTAAAGGTCTTTGTCGATTTTCATTTATTTGATTATAAAACCTGTTATAAATTAATGTTTAGGTTTTAGATAATTAACTACATATGAATTTTTTGATACGTTAGTTCCCCTGTGAATAATCATTATTCCCATATATACATACAATATTAGTATTCAAACCTACAAAAAAATGTCCAACAAGAGTGATATTTTCTGTCAAGCTTTGAGTGTTATGCATGTAAATAGAAAAGTTTAGCAAAAAATAAAAAAAAATCAAAAAAAAATGAATAACTTCATTTCTTAAAATAAAATAAACAAACAAGATGAACCGGCCGGCCCACCCCAACCATGACCATTGCAACATTGCACTCTACCCCTTATACTATTTACATTTTAAAACTTCCCGAATAAAAATAATAATACCAATAATAATAAAACCAATCCCTGCCATCCATCCATCCGCCCCCCTCACACGACCTTGACAGCTGTACGGAGCAGATCGAATGTCAACAAAGAAGCCCGGTGCCGCCGCAGCCGGGCGGGGTGCCGCCGCTGCCGGGCGGCGCCGCCTCCCAAATCCCTCGCCGGCGTAGGAATTGCCGGCGTTGGCATCGCCGACGGCGAGAGCCTCTCGCAGGAGCGAACCCACTTGCAGAGCATGTACTCGTGTTTCCTCCAAGGTGCCATGTGCATTTTATTCTCCTTCACGGAACGCTTGGCCGCCCTGCACATTATCTTCACCACCGATTTAAGCTTCTCAGACTTTCCGACGAACATCTCCGGCAGCCGCGCCACCAGTGCGTTGTACTCCTGGCTGGCTCTCGCCATCTCGAATTCGGCTTTGAAGTTGGGCTCGATTATTATTCGGGTTGGGCCCTTGAGCCCGTTTCTCGGCCCGATTAGTACGTCCACGTAGCTGTGTTCACCTGTGTGTATTGTCCGGGTTTTGGTATTAGCTAAATTTAAAATAAAGATCAAACTTTTAAATTAAGCACTTATTTTTATTTTTATTAATTAATTTATAAGATATTTCTTTTCTTTTGAGGTTGTAAGTTCAAAAGATAAATATAAGATTAACGGTCATAAATTGTGAGATCATTTTAACCTACTACAAATATTGAATATATATATATATATATATGTGTGTGTGTTTTGAAGCAAATGCATATTTTATTTGGATACTCTTAATTGCTATTGGATTTATGTCAAAATGAGTGTAATAATTTTATTATTAATTAATTTATAATATGTTATTTTTAATTTTTGAAGTTTATAGCAAATAAATGTAAATAAAATAGTCATAAATTTGCAAGGGAAAATGTAATTTGCAAGCTAAAGTTTTTATTATTATTATTTTATTTTTTTTTGCTAAAAAAAATTATGACACCTAATATAAATTCGATCAAGATGAACTTAATAGCTCTAAGATTGAATTTGAAAAGATTATATTTATTTTTAAAATATAATACGGACAACTATTAAATTTATTCTCATGAAACTTTGATAAGATTAATTGATTTTTTTTAATCAAATTAAAATTTTAATGTTCTTGACTAAACTTATCTCCCTTTGATTCATACAATTAAGATTTTAATGTTAAGATATATATTGAATTTTCTCATATTTAGCTCATCTCTCGTTCTTAACCCTTCCCTTGAGGTGTGACTGGACATATAAATCAGGATTCGACATTCTAAAAAGGGTGGAGATGTGAGGTATCAGATACTGTCTACTTGAATGCTAAATATGTAGCCTAATAATTTATTTCTTCTTTCTTCCTGGAAGAAATAATGGTTTTTCTCTTATCTATCTCATTCTCGTACATTTCTAACTCTATAATTGAGGTGTGACTATTTACTTGTGGTGTGTGAGTCCATAGACAAATCAAAATTTAACATCCTAAATGGTGTGGACATGTGGGATTTTAAATGTAAAGAGGGTGGGTTCTGACAAGTAGGCCCCACTGGAATACACTGATTATAATGATTTTTAAAAGATGCAGAGCCCACTTGCTACATGGCAAATTTTGATTAAATTTTGAATGCAAAATTTGCGTCCACGGTTCAGACTACGGACACAAAACCAGATACAAATGCGTCCACGGTTCAGACTACGGACACAAAACCAGATCAGACTACGGACACAAAACCAGATACAAAATTTTTTCCTCGTAGTTGACTCTAGTTTTTGTTATCTACTATTCATTATTTAATCTGCAATAAAAAATTTATAAATTTGTCTCCATTTAATTCCTCCTATATATAATTATAATTATAAGAGATATGATAAGATCATGAACACATTATCATAATTACTTTTATATTATTTAGTGAAGATTAAAGTGATATACAAAATAAATTAATTAGGGTGCAATATTTGGACCAAGTGATAGGCAGTGGCAGTCAAATTTGTCTTCTTAACCTCTGCAATTTATAGAATAATTGTGGCTTTTGCCAAGATTGACCCAAAAAAAAAAAAAAAGGAAATGGTTTTGGATAACTCTTTTCCTTCAAATTTTTGAATCTGACATCTTCATCTAAATCGCATAAACCAAGTTCTAAATTACCTGAAGGAATGTCCGGCGATCGTTGCCACTTCGATCTACAAACCGCACCATCATAACCCTTCTCCCTCAGCCTCTCCGCCATAGCACTAACCCGCGGCTACACTCTCCGCCACCGCCGCCGCCGCCGGAGCAACCACAAACGGCAGCACCCTCCGCCCGCAACTTCCTCACCGTCTCCTCCACGCTTCCCTCAATCTTCCTTTCCGTCGATCCGCTTTTCATCAGCGCCTCCTACTCCCCAAATCCAACCATCAAAAATCCATCTTTTTTAACAACGAAATCAAAATCTCAACAAAAAAGTAAAAAAAGCTTACTTGCAGAAGCTGGTCTTGAGAGGCCCAGAATGCTCTGGCCTCAGCGGCGCCGCCGCCGGAATCCGCCTCATCCCCCTCGCCCCCGGTGATCCATCCTTCGTCGCTTTCCGAACTTACGGCGGCCCGTTCATCCTCGAAGAACCCCAATACCATATCCGCTAAGCTCTCCGCCATCTCTCTCTCTCTCTCTGATTTCTCCGGCGAGTTTCCGCAGGCTTCGATTCGCCTTTTATACCGTATCCGGCGTTTCGAGCTGAGTCAGCTCAAAATTAGCTTGAAATTGGTTCGTAATTCGGCTCGTTTATTTAAATTTTATTTCGATCCGAGTCGGAATTCAAAGCCACGCGGGCGAACTGTTTCGCAGATGGGACCCTCGGGCCGAGTTGGATAGGCTGAGGTGGGGCCCACGGTGTTTCTCCGGATGAATGTAGACGCGGCGAACGTGAGGGGGATCCGACGTGGCGTCGCGTACCCGGGCGCGGTCGCGTTTGGCGGGTTGGCATGGGGTCCACGGCCACCGAGGATCCACGTATTGGCGTGATCGCCGCGGGGAAGATCGATAATTTGTGGGCCCAAGGGCTTACCGGGTATATTCGTTTCACGAGCCATTGGATCCTTTTGGATTTAGGTGATGCATTTATATCTATCAAATATTTGAAGTTTTATATTTATTTATATAATATAATTTTGTTTTAATTATAGAGGAATATTATTAATATTAATTTATTTAGAAATAACAATTATAAGTAAATTTTCGAAAGGATTCTACATGAGAAATGTAAAAACGTAGCTAAAAAATATTATATATAAATATAAGAAATATGTGTGTATATTGAAAATGTGTCAGTATGGATCTGAGAGAATTTGAAAGTCCGATGAAGAAGTAGTGCAAATAGTCGGAGTGAGTAAACCGATCGACACTGATTTGCTTGGGTCAAGTCAAAAAAGCACAACTAGACTAACTCTGAAGTAGTCGGTAGCAACGATCCCCTTATGGCAATCAAAACAATTCGATTTTCGCGAACGGCTTGTGGTCTATTCGTTCGCTAAGTAAACGAGTCAAACACGAACAAATTATTTTGCACTCGATATATAGACGAGTCGAACACGATGAAAGATGTGTTTTGACTCTAAAACTATATATATATATAAA